AGACATAGAGTCATGTTGTTTGCTAGATTGATGCTTTTCTTGATTGTATATCCAATGACACATCACAAGACCCTTCGGTAAAGGAACATACATATTACTTTCAATCTACGTTAAGGACTATTCATCTATTTCCTTGATATTAATCTTTGTTTCCTCCAAGACTTTCCATACTTCTCTCTCTCTTAGAACTTAAATAGGATATGATCAAATTCAATGCAATGGCGCATGAAATAACAACGAGTACATGACAGGAAGACAAGAGATGATACATGATGGACTACATCTAATACAAGAGATTCAATAATTGAACTAGGAGGGGTTGGTTTATTGGCACTTCGGCAGAGGTAACTATCTTTCATCAGTATATATATTACTCTTTAAGATGGTACATAATTCACCACAAATGCAGTTTCTTAAATTCTATATGTAGAAAATTTTGATAGTCATATTTATATATTTATGTATGATGTATGTATATGTATATATATATTCATCCATTCATACTTATTTACTTGATGCTAATAAGGGAAGAAGGGTCACTTGGAGGCAGACTTTTATAAGAAACATTACACAGTCATGCAAGGGTGCAAGGTGCTAAAGGACAATTTACTAAACACATTCCTTGATAAGTAACTTGCCGTTACTAAACACATCACTATGATAATTTCTAGATTGTTGTATGAATATCACTTTCAAAATACTATATTTCGACCTTATATATGCTCTATGTTACAGGAAATTAGTAGTGGGATAATCCAAAAAATTCACTCTCGTTTTAAGGCATCACCTCATATATTTATATGCACTAGATCAATCATTTATGAATTTATACAAGATATCGATGGTTATGGGTGGTTAGGAAGTTAACTCCGCGACAATTACACCCATTAACAAATAAGATTGAATAATAGTTGCAACTAGCTTAGAAGATTCGAGTCAGAAACATCATGTTAAGATATACCAAGTCTAGGAGGACCAAACTCAAAAGGCTCAGAGGCTTTGAGTGAAGACTCATAAGCTTTGAGTAAAGACTTAGATTCTAAGTGAAGTCTTAGTAACTAAGCGAAAACTCAGAAGATCTAAGCAGAAGGCTCAGAAGCTCCGAGTACAAAGACTTTTGATTCATACTTAGGAAAATTCACTAAGTTTCTAAACTAATTCAAGAAAGTTTCCATCCCTTTGAATTACGTCCACAATGTCCCAAAACTAGGAACTTCTAAGTAAACCTCTTCATAAATCCCAGGGGGCGCACCACAAAAACCCTTTGACTCCCATATTATGGCGATTTAAGGTGATGGAGGTAACATTTGTGAGTGTGCACTCCCCACTTCCTGTTGGAATACGAGACCCATACACTCAGCAGATATTCGTATTTCTTTAAGAATCCATACGAAACAGAGTAGGATGGGTGTTTCAAAAATTTACCACTACAAGCAGCAACCCTTTGATGTCATATCTCAATTTAAGCAACGAACTAAGCTCACTGCCACCACAGTATCCACACAAATTTTCTGAATCTACTTGACGTCCTACTCTAATATAGGAAACTTCTTGAATGCTAGATATGATTTCCAGCTCCTTGTAGAAAAGGAAGAGCAACTTGTGAAATATAGAGAGATAAAAGATCCTATAAACAATTCTGGCCACCTTTTCTCAGTTCTCATTTGATGAATCATTGTCTCACAATGGTCTCTCTCTATTCATATAAGTGTTATGATGACACCTATACCATAGTTCCTAGTGTAGGCAGAGTGTCTCAAGGATTTTAGAAGATAACATATCTTCTCAAATCTTTCCTTTTCTTTTCGACAAATATAAAGGACTGACAAGTCCCTACTTGTCAATCCTATCCCAAACTTGACAAACAAGTTACCTATAATCAGATGCAACAGGATAAAATCAAATTTGATAGGATAATAATAATTAAACACTTTAACTATTTATTCTCCTAATTCAGATATACATTTTATGCATGTGATCGATTAGGACTTTATCAAGTTGGCGATACTTATAATTCTATTTGTAGTTATAAAGGATGAGAGGCATCTTACACCACATTATGGTTACCCAAATGATAATTTTTATGATTCATCTAATCAATAAACTGTGTGATCATTATCAGTGTACACATTTACGTCCCTTGGTTCAGATATCTAGATCGAACATTAGGCATGGATGTGTCATCCTTATTATGACAGATCTTTAGTTTCTAGATTCTAGAATATATTAATAAGACAAATAACAATATCCCATACGATCATCTAAGCATGCATGCATTTCCTTAATACTATTCAATCGAGAGCCCCAAGGATATCACTCTTCTCATACAGGAGGAATAAATCCTATCTTGATCCATGTTAATACTACTAAGTGATATGTGATATATCCCACAATCATTCTATCTACAGTGAAAGAATGATTAAAATTAGTTATCAAAGTACACCACTCACATAAAACAAGCTCCATGATCTCAAGTCAAAGGACTAATTTTATAATGACTAGATGAGAAATGTTTGTGACACTCATATGACATCTGATGAAAAAGTTCTCATAGCGAGTCATGTCCAATACACAATATTCCATCTTGTACCCATATGTGGACTTTTATCTCAACACGAATCCCTACATATACTAGTCTTACTGTATTAATTCAACCTAAACCCGAATTAATACTTAATCAGGGACATTTTAGAATTCATTATTTCAAGGTTATTATTATGTTTAGATATAATAGAATCATCCATAAACATAATAATTAGGCAATGCCTTTCATTAATAAATACCATGACACAATGTCCAAACATAATCATCAAATGAGTGGCTTTTGGGGATATACATTGACAATCTCCTATTTGGACTAAAGCCAATCTATCATGTATCAAATACCCATATATCTAGAATCGTCGTCATGCTTTTGTTGTGTTAAGGGCTTTGTTAGTGGATCAACAACGTTTGCTTCCATAGGTACTTTACATATAGTAACACCGCCTCTCTCGATAATCATTAGTGAGATCTCGGTTCCTTTTCTTGTTCTATAGCTCCATTGTTGTCGCACAACAACTCTATAGGATTGTTATTGCTCGGAACCACACCAATTTAAGAAACAATTTTCTTTATCCAAACTACTTCTTTAGCTGCATCCGATGTTGTGATGTACTCAACTTTCGTTATAGAATCAATTACTATCTCTTGGTTGGAACTTTTCCAACTTACATCACCACCATTTAGGCAAAACACAAAACAGGACTGCGAAATCTAAAATCATCTCTATCGATTTGGAATCTTGCATAAGTGTAACCATTTACACTCAACTCTTCCTTACCGACATATATCTTCATCTTTGCAAGTACTTTTACGATATTCTTCAAGTTATCAGTGACCATCACCCAGATCTGATTGATATTTGTTCTTCATGCTCAAAACATGAGACATCAGGTCGAGTACATATCATAGCATACATGATAGTTTTGATTGCCGAAACATATGGGATCTTACTCATCCATTCACTTTATTGCGCTGTAATCGGTCATTGCATTTTAGAAAGTGATATGCCATGAGATAATGGGAAGAACCCTTTTCGCTTTCTAACATGCTGAATCGTTTCAGTACTTTGCCTATATATAACTCTGACTTAAGCCTAAACAAATTCCATGATCTATCTTTATAAATCCAGATGCCTATCACATAAGCTACTTTGCCAAAGTCTTCCATCGAAAGGAAAATCCCTAGCCAAGCCCTTACAATTGAAGCATTGGGATATCTTCCCAATTAGTAGTATACCATCTATATATAATGATAGAAATGATATTATGCTTCCACTAACCTTTTAGTAGATACAAGGTTCATCTTCGTTTTTCAAGAAACCAAACTATTTGATTGCTTTGTCAAAACGATGATTCCAACTCCTGAAAGCTTGCTTCAGTCCATAAATGAATTGTTGCAACTTGCATATTTCTTGAGAATCTTTAGGACTGACAAAACCTTCAGCAACTGCCAACGATGCAATACTACGCTTAAAGGAACACTTTATACAACAATATATACATACTTCTGATCGCGGTTAGCAACCAACACACATACACATCATGTATACATATATATAACACAGACCGATGGATGCATATAACACGTTATAAACATGTACACATATAAAACATATAAATGAGAAAACAAGAAAAATAAACAAATCCATTGTTAAACCCTTGCTAATTAGTGAGGGGTGTCATGTGTCCATCCCCTAATCCGTCGCTAATTAGTGAAGGATTAGCGATAGATTGGGTTTATAGTCTATCTGTCGCTAATTAACGAGAGATTAGAGCCGTCGCTAATGCCCCTTTTTCTAGTAGTTTAGTGCTAAGTCCTCTTTCCAGCTTCATGATTTATCGAGCAAAAAATCGGGAAGGAAAGCAAATAAAAACATTCTGGACATGACAATTGAAATGCGGTTATGCCTAATTTGATGTGTTGAAAACCCAATAGGGATGATGTCTGTCTAGGGATAAACCCTTCATCTATTCAGGAATCCAACCTCAGGGAAGAAAAATGGGATGAGGTGGCTGCCTTCATGTTTTCTTCTTCTCTTTCTTGTGCCTCTATTTGATGGATCTGCGATTGATCTTGGCTATCTTACTTTAATTTGGTGTTAATTATTGTCTTCTTGGAAGACTTCTCTGATTGTAGTCCCCCTATGATGCTTCTTAGTTATTCCTTTTCTATATTATATCGATATTGTTTGAAGTTTAAGGTGGCTATTTGTGTGGCAGCCTCTCTTTCGTTCTCTATTTCTCTTTCTATCTTTCTAAAACCATAACGATTTTTACTTTTCTTTTCTATTTCAATTTGGCTTTGCTTAGAACCCTTGAATACACAAACGAAAATTACAAACTGATGGGCAAAATGGAATCAAGGATGCACGTTGGTTAGATTTTATGGGAAGAAGTCCATCTCCTATCTTTGTAAAAATTTATATAACCTTCAATTTGGTAAATATCAAATCCCAACATATGATATAGTTCCTCTTGCTCTCCTTGGTCTCTTTTCTAAGACAAAAAGAGACACGAAAAGCCGAAGAGAAAATATGGAAAAATAATGAATACTACAAAATCCAAAGAAGTCGAGAGAGAAGAAAATGAAGAAGCAGGCCTGCATGCTATTTGATGGGAGACTAGTGAACATACACGGTAAGTAGAAAAAGAATAGCTTTTTTAAACCTTCTTCTTCATCTTCTTCATCTTCTTCGTCATCTTGTTCTTTCCTTTAGTACTTCTGTTGCATAAAATTCAGGCTTCTGCTGTCCATTACATGGACAAATGGAAGCAGAAATTCGAAATGCAAAAAAAAAAAAGTAGAAAGAAGGGAAGGAAAGATCAGTTGCGTTCTTTTTGAAGCCAATCTGGTCTGCCCAAGGTGAACTCTAAGCATGGGTTTTTCTGATCCAAACTGGATCCTAAGCAGCTCTTTGGTCTGGAAGGGTCGCATTCCTGCAAAAAGAACAGTTAACAAGAGGCATGTTATATATTGAATGGAGAAATACATACCTCAATCACATTGCATACAATAGAGATTCACCATACATGGCTACATTTTTCAGAAAGAAAAGGCAAGTTTGTACCTTAAATATGAAAGGCCAAGTTTACTGCTGATGATTTGGCATTACTATGTGTTTTTCCAGTTTTCTTTTCAAAACACCAAGTTTTACCATGCACATTTTATTTTTACTGACAGCAGGATATGTAACCTAGAAAATATGCCTTTTTCTTTCTCCTACTGTTTGAGTTTTTATTTGTTCAAAGAAAATAAGCAACCTGTGCATCTCTAGCTTCTCGCTAGTTTCTAGTTTTCTAATAAAGGAGTCTTTTTGCTGTCCAAAAACAATGACATGCACAAATCCACGAATGTGATTCATTATTGAATTTTCTTTTGGCAATCATAAAGATATATTGGATATCACAAATTCTGGGATGCTATAAAGCACTAATAAATAGTAATAATTGTGACAAAGATTACCTCTACTTGCTGACTGGCACTCCGTTGCCGTAACATGGTCGATGAGGGTCTGAGGTCGTTCATATCACTGTTTGTCTGCAGCCATCCCTCCCTATTGCTGAAATTAGTTGTCAATATCAAATTTCAGTTAGTCTTCGAAGTTCTACAACAATGTGTAACCCAAATCAAACAAAGGGTCGCATTAGTTTTGCATTACATTTATAGTTAGGGGAAACATCTATGATATATGTGGTTCATTATTTAAAGGATTTAGTAGAACTATATATTTATGTTAAAACAACATCAACTACAGCAAGATGGGAAGCCTATGTGAATATGAAAGATTTCGACGTCGAATATCTTGCATTGTATATATCTTACTATACAGAAATACTAAATAGATACTCATTTTGTTCTAAAATAAATGCGTCATTGGAATCTTAAAAAACCAAATGTATTTTCTCAAGAAAATATGCAGTTGAAAGAAATTTGGCATTGTCAGAAAACAAATTTATAGCATCATTATTTTTACAAAATATTTATTCTGTCTTTAGATCTTTACAGTCAAGACAAGTTTACAGTAATGTTTAAGAAAAATTTGGGATTGATGGGGTCAATTTTATTGCATCATTAACCTATTTATGCATCTTTCGTAGTTCACTGGTAAAGCATGTTAAATCTTAGTTTTTGAATAGGTCGTCAAAAATTTGGGACCCAATTTTACTTGCAGTTGAGGCCCAAATTTATATAGGCCAACATGTGAACCCATCTCAGTAAATAACTATCTAATTTTTTTTACAAAATCAAAGCCGCTATTTAATTTTAGAATTTGTTGATCAAAAACAAAAATAACTCTTTGATATTCTTATCACTTTGTCATTTAAACATGTTTGTTGTTTAACTTGTAAGATTCTTAATATGATCCGAAATTTATATTTTATTTTTTTGTTACTAATTTCAGACAATCTATAGTTTTAGTACGGGTATAAGATAGCCTCCAAAAAGATTAGAACGGCCTTGCCGATGCAATACCAGGACTTCACAGGATGGGAAACTACAAACTCTTGACGGGAACCAGTTATTTCGTCCCCATAAATAACAGTCATGTGACTTGATTTTTCACTATCCCAGAAAGAAGATGTTTCTCTAGTTTTACAAGTCAAAACCTGTAGTCTTATATCTAATACAATTGTTTAGTTACATAGCAAGCCAGAATTTGGAGTTAAACATATTTTCTAGTAAAAGATAACTTCTATGTCACTGAAATTTTATTCTTTGGCCACCTAATAAAGCCATCATTGATATCTGTTATATTATCTATACTCTTGTTTATTTTTAAAAAAAACTAGCACTGATATATAGGAAAGGCTTTTCTTATGTATTCTTTGTGCATGATTCTTGTTAAAGGTGAGACACCGGGATCCAGAACCTCTAGGGAAATTAGAGTGCAGTGTCATTAGAAATTCATTTCCCAATCCAATAGTAATAATGGATAACAATCTTATCTGATCATAAAAGCTTACTTTAATAAATGACTTGTTAGTAGTGTTCGATATTATTTATCAATCATTAGATTTTACACCTGCAACTGTTAATTTACACACCAAAAAGTTCCTTGGTGAAGTTTGGTAGAATCCATATTATCATCTTTAACTTAAGTTGGTATGGTTTTTATTTGGACCATCCAACCAGGACATACACCATTAGTCGTGAACAACATAAACACAATATACTTGAACTTCTCAAGCGTAATTAACTAGGTAGTCATATTTCACTTGAGATAAACACAAACACACTTTTGGTCAGATCGAACCATTTAGAATGTTTAAGAAAACACAGAATGAAAGAAGTGAAATGACATAATATAAAAGCATCATGCAGATATGAACCAGATAATTAAAGTGCCCGATGGTTGATGGGCATTTTATATGTGCTAAATTTTCACTAGATATCACAATTTAGACTTGAACTTTTTTGTTCTACTGAGATTGGCATGCAGTTATCAAGAAAGTTTCCAATTGATTAATTTAAAGCAAACCTCAAGAGAGAGAGAGAGGGAAGCTGAAAAATGTAAAGTAAAAGGAAAAAGAGAAATTGAAACAAGAAAAAAAAGATGGGTTCTGATTTGTTGTATAACAGTACGCGTATGACAGGTCAATCAACAATATATTTATAGTACATGCTCCAACCTAAAAATATAAACACCAAAGGTATTTGCTTTAGGATTTTGGTACATTTCAAATTCAGCATACTGTGGTTGAGTTATATGCTAAGGGTCAATACTGTGTACATTCTTTACTCATTAGGGAAGGGTCAATATCATCGGTATCAACTATGAAGTCCGATGGGGTGCCAACATGCATAAGAGTTCAAAAGAAGAAGAGAAAAGGAGAGCACTTGAAGTCAAGATACTGGCTTTTCTTGGTCATATATGCAAATCTCCTCGTGACCAGAACAAGAATCATAATTTTCCAATTTAGAAAAGGACATTATGAATAATTAATATATAGTATAATTTATTTAGTACCAAAATCAATGGTACTGTTATAAGGTAGAGTAAATTGTTAAAAAGAAAAAGTTGATTGCTTTAATTTCTGCTAAACCTATTTTAAAGTTCTGGGTTTACATTAGCTTTATCTTCCTTTCTTAAGGTTCTCCCATCAAAGCTTGATACAGTAGCCAAGTCTCAATCCCAGGTGAAATCTTCTCTCCCAGAAAAATCTAAGAAAATAAGGTGAAGAAAAGGGAAAGAAAGAAAAGCAAACTAAAGCTGCTGTATTAGCACTTTTATTCTTCAAAAATGGTGGAACTGTACATGGGTTTTTCCATTTCCAAGTAGAAAATATCATGCAAAAGTTAAAGGTAATGTAATATTTATAATTAGCCCCATCGTTATTAATACAAACACCCAGAAAATGGTACCTTGAAGAATTGCTCCAGAGGGTGGTGGTGGCGGTGGCCGTAGCTGAGTAATTAGGGTAGTCGGATTCTTGCAGATCAGCGGACCCTCTTTGATCGGTAAATCGCCTTAGCCCTCCACTTCCCATGGTTGAGATATCGTCTTCTCCAGATCCATCTGATTGGCCTTCATGCATGATTTTGGAAAAAGAAAATATACAAGAAATTAATTAAAAAGGGAAATCAATTTGATTCTTTTAAACGTTGGAAGATTTTTTGAATTGGGATCCGGGTGTTAAGCTGTTTCTTCGTGTTTCTTGTCCATTTTAATGTACTATAAATTAAAATAGGGATAATTAAATAAAAGAATTACCTGAGGAAGCTGCAGGTTTGTCAGTTGTTTTAACAGTTCTATACATCTGCAAAATCCGTAATAAAAACTTAATTAATATCAAAGAAAAATAGCAAAAATGGTGAAGAAATTGAAGGAAAAAATCAACTGAAAAAAGAAAAAAAAAAAAAAAAAAAGGAGCCTTGGGTATGTTCTATGTCGAATGCTTGTGAGTCATACATACATAGGTGATTGGATTGGTTTCCTTCTGTCATTAATCACGAGGCTGATGTTTGAATAACATGAGCTGTTTTTATTATTATTGAATAATCATGACTTACTTTTGTCTCTTATCATTCTGATCATCATCAGTACTCTCTCTCTCTCTCTCTTTCTCTCTCTCTGACTTACTACTGTTCTTCTAATTCAGTCATTAACTGCAGACATCGGCGACTGTGCCGGAGGGTTAATCGGAAAGAGGAAGAGAGGTAGAGTCCAAGAAATTGTGGGGAGTAGAAGGGGGTACCATTTTTGTTTGTCCACAAGTCCTGGGGGTATACCTGTAAATGGCTCTTGACATGAGCCAAGGTGAGATCTTTGACATCCATCAGCTCCAAAACTGACTTCGGTGTTGCCCCTAAACAAATTAAAAAGGTAAAATTCCTAATTTTTCGTGATGAGGTTGGAAGAAGAAAATTAGGAAAGAATTGTGGTTAAGATCACTGGATTACTTTCATGGCCTCCAAGAAGCTCAACGGCGTGAACGAAGCGAGAGTGAAGGGTGCTAGTCCATCGCATCCTTGGTGCCCTCATACTCCTCTTAGCTGGAAGCTTGGGAAGAAATCTTGATCTCATCAAACCATGTGAGACTTCATGAGATGTGGGTCCACCTCCGCCATACTGGTTATGGTAGTGGTGGTGGTGTTGATATGATGAAGATAAGCCGGTAAATCTCGTCCCACCACCACTACCACAGCCTCCAGGTACACGATAACCCGATGAAGAAGGACCATTAAGCCCAGGGTTCAGAAAGGGCATGTGACCTCCACTAGCACCAAAATAAGGTGAAGTAGATGTAGAAGATGATGGATAGAAGCACATCTTTGGATCTTTCTCTAGAGAAGAATGGTCCAAATTAGGCAAAAAGGGAAATGGATGATTGTGATATACCGGAATCCCCTTTATCGGCCTCAGGCAGTCAGACACATCAAGCAGTGAAACTCCTTGGTTCAAGTGATTTAAGTTCTGGGTATTACTACTATTTGGCTGTTGATTGTAGATATGATGGTGGTTAAGATGATGATGATGAAGAAACGGATTTTGTGGGTTGTCTTGATCTCTTTGAGCTAAACTTGTTGCAAGATTTCTTGATGGATTTGTAAGGGAAAGGTCAGTGTACGTTTGTTGATGCAAAGTGTTTGATTTGGAAGGAGAATCAATATTACCACGAATCGAAGAAGACGATAAAGAAGAAGTATTTGGAAGGCTAATGTTAAGAGAGAGATCAGGAAGTGGGTTTGAAGAGGAGGAAGATGGTGGTGGTTCTATGAAAATCCCTTCCAAGGGCATTTTCTTTCTGTGTGTAGTATTAGATAAGATTACAGACTTCCACACACATACACACACACACACAAAAACCCTTCTTTTATCTCCCCTTTCTCCACTCTCACACTAAGTGGCCTTGCTTTATCTCACTATCTTGATGTGCAATCAAATTGATACCATGGAAATCATCAAAAGGGAAGCAAGGAGAACCAACACAATCACCAACACCGACACCAACACCCAACATAAAAGAAAAAGTAAAAATATAAAAATTTGAAGGGTAGAAAGCTAAGAAAGATCTCTTTGAATATATAAAAGGTAGAAGATAAGAGAGAGAGAGAGAAAGAGAGAGAGAGAGAGAGAGAGAGAGAGAGTAGGGGCAGCAATGAAACTGGAAACAAATAAAGTAAAACAAGGAATTCCAGAAAGAAGGTGTGGGGAGGAAGGAGAGAGGGTGGGGTGGGGGTTGGGGGGGGTCTGGTGGTGTTCCTCGAGAGTATATCTCGGAAAATGACACTAGAGAAAAACAAGTTCTCCCTCTTCCTCTCTCTCTCTCTCTCGCACCCGATAGTCAAAATACGCAAAGCAGCAAACAGAACAAAAACATGATCACACACGAACACAAAAGAATTTTTTTAGAAACACACTTTTTTGTAGAGAGACATGGAAACCATGATTTGGTGTCACTAATTTTTTTTTGTGTGTTAATTAACGTATTTATAATAATTTAGTTAGTAATGTTAAAGCAAATTAATGTAAATCAAAATAAATATGTTCGTTAAATTCTAAACAATAAGAGGAGGTGTAATTTGTTGGATGATGTCCAAATATAAAATTTAAATTTAATATGGTATACTGTTTTAAACAATTTGATCAAACCCGACTACATGTTTAAAATAATCCATTGTTCGAAAAAGGATCGTCGCATCAGTCGTCATGATAAAAGGCTCAAGGTTTGTGTCTCACTCCATGTTAAGTTTGTGGCATGTCATGGTGTTAAACGTTGTTTTGTAACACGATATTTGATTTTGCTTATATTTGTAATGTTTTATATTTGTTAGTTTTTAGTATATAACTTAATTTTAAATTGTTTATTATAATTGATTTGTTGGGTAATAATAGAAAACATATGTTCATGCGTATAATATTACATACGATGTAGTGATTTGCTGTCATAAGTCATACGATGAAAAACGCCATAACTTCGCTATTACCTCTAAGACTTAAAGCTTGATCTCGATATGACACCATGCTTCAAGATATTTAAAACCCTGAAATCAGACTCGTTCATGACATTTTATAGGCCTTGGGCGAACGAAAAAACATGGCCCACTACGAGAAACAAAGCTTTTAGCAACGACTTTTATCGTCGCTAAAAGTCGAATTTATCATTACACAGAGTATATAACAATATCTCATCGCTATAACTTGTGGTGAAGACATGTCATCATTAAAAGGCGCATCGTCAAAGCTCGCTTTTTTTTGTAGTGACCCTCGATAAGTACGAAAATTCAATAAATGTTTTTCATTAGTATAAAATTGAGTAAAAGAAATGCTAATAATTTACTGAGAAAAAAATCTTATTTATCTTTATTATAGATATATAAGAGAGTATTTAAATTTATTTACTTCTTATTAGGTAATTTGAAACCAAAAATATAGAAACTGTGGTTGATAATTTTTTATAAAAGGTAAGAATTTATTTTGTTCATAACAAGAAATATATATTATTTTTATACAAAAGAGAATTTGTGTGAATGAAATGATTGTGAGGGTCAATGAGAAATCAATAATAGAAAACAAGTAGACAAATAAGGATCAATATGAAGAAAAAAAGATGATCCATTAAGATCCAATAAAAATAAATAATGAATTAAACATATAATATGTAAGCTCAACAAATAGTTGTTTGTGTTCTTAAATTTAATCTTTTGGTGTTGTGGAATCTCAAAGAAAGATACATTAGTCAAACAATTGATGAAAATATTTAAATTCTAATTTTTTTTATGAACTAAGATGTAAAAATTAAAAGTTTATAGAACATGACATATATAAATGACATTACTAAATACATTTAGTAGGGAAAATTTATTTGTTAATCACAAAACTATGAAACACATCATATATTATAAGAAAAATAGATTTATCGTCAAACAATGGTAAAATATTTGCTGTAGAAGCAAAAATAGATAATAATAGTTAACAAAAACAACTAAAACAACATAACCAAATAAAAATAGTCAATAGATAAAAGTATCCAACAAAAATATATTGCACTAGCAAACACATGATCTTAAAGTTGAATTGGTGAAACACGAAAATAATCAAGCATATAGAGATATCAATAACCAATGTCATTAGACCTTGCTGGAAATAAACGAAAATTAGAGAAACAATAAACAATAGCATATAATGAATGATCAATTATTTATTTTAAATTTTCTTTTTTTAAACTATAATTAGTTGATATATTTTTGGGTCCTTATTATCTACTAAATTATGTTTTCCTCTTATTATATGCTACAATTTTTTGGATTTCTTAAATTTATTGAAAAAAATAGACTACTTATATACGTTAAGAGAAAATTTTGAGCCCCTGATATTTTTGGATCCTGAGCATACATTCGTACGACCTTGCCTGAAATAATCAAACTCTATTAGCATAAATACACTTTGAATATTTAACATTAATATTTTAATTTTAATTTATTAAATACCTAAATTAATTTAATTTTTGGGAATGGTTGTATGATTTATTTATTCAACCATTAGTTGTTATTTAATCATCAAACAATAACTTAGGGTGGTTGAATTTTATAATGTTTGATATATCTTATATTTATGTTAAGCTATTTATTTCAAATAATTCTTAATAATAGGAAAAATCAAAACCCTAACACTAATTATAAGTATATCTAAATGTTCATGTGCAAACATGATTTTAATCTTGTATTTTTTATATACACTTGTCATTTCAAGACTGTAACAATCTTATCAAAACATAAATACCGTAAAATAAATTTGATGTAAACAAACCATTAAAACACAAATATATACATATATAGAATACATATACATACAGGGGAGCGTTCAAATGAAAACCACTCAATTTGTAAAAACCGTGAAAACCTTATTCAACCAATCATAATTTTTCATTTTGTTAATTTTTTTGTAATTATGAGAGGTTGATTAACCATTTTTATTGCAGAGGATGTTAATCATGAATATTATCATCTTCATTATTTTAATTTTAGAGAAATACATGAAACAGTTTCATTAAAATTTCATTAAATATTATATGAAACAATTTCATAACCATATATGAAACAATTTCATAACCATATATGAAACAAATTCATCAAAAAAAAGTATTATATAAAACAATTTCACAAGATGAAACAATTTCATGAAAAAAAATTCATAAGATTAAACAATGAAATCGACGTATGAGAGTGGTTTTTACGGTTTTTACAAATGAGAGTGGTTTTCATTTGATCGCTCCTCTATATATATATATATATATATATAATGAATATAAGTAGAACCAAAAAAAGAAGATCATCAACTTACGAGAACGATCAAATCATATGTTATATACATGGGACATGTATTGCGCCCTCCTTTGTCTCTCTGTTCAGAACAAAAGTTAGGTTCGCAACTAAACCTACTTCTATATATATAGGGGGTCGATTTAAATAAAAGGACTAAATATCGTGAGAAAGTAAGATGTGAATGTTCATTTGTGAAATCATTGAAAAATCCGAATAAATCTATTTGAAGTGCATATGTTGACCAATATTGTATATTATTCATATGGTTTTACATATGCATATTCAAATGGACTTTTCAATGATTCAAATAAGAACCTTTCTTCTTGCATTTTCACGATATTTAGCATTCTTTTGAAATTCCCTTTATACATATTATTGAACTTCACTTTTGTTCCTTAAGGTTTAGTGACATTTGAAAGTGGGACCTAACATTTAATGAGTCTAGAAATCATCGTTATTATTTACCTTTCATTTTGAAAATGGTCCTTCGTATTAACTACCGTAGTGGGAATGTTGTTATTTGAGGGACAATTCAGTCATTTTGTCTATTTATATTAATAATTGTTAATGTACAAGCATATGAAGTTTATGTACAATTGTAATAAAACAAGAACTTTGGTCTCTGTAGAAATGTATATGGGTTGGGTTGGGCGATTTAAAAAACTTTTACAACTCAACCCAATTATTACGGTTTGGAAATATTTCAATGCATTCCATTCAGTATAACCCAACCCTTGTGGGTTGTGGCGGATTGGATGGATTGAGCAGCTTGGTGGTATATATAAAATTGAGAAATAAGATACGATAAATACTACTAAAAGTATACAAACAAAACTATTACTTATCACAATCATCCGAATATATAATTAAATCCTTAAGTCTTAGAATCAGGTACTTCAAATTATCAATCAAATATTTCAAAAGTCTGAATAACAGATGTCCCAAACCGTCCAGATCATCAATCAAGTATGACCGGGTTAAGTTGGACCTCTCCGACTCCAGTGTTGTTCGTTCTTCACCACAAACCTAACCACAACTTTTCGACAATTCTCCTTATTAATTGACACCCCAATATCATTGCGAGTATGAAAGCTAAGCAATTTTTGTTTTTTTTTTTATCACATATCCTATCCGAGTACTTCTTGCATCAAGTTTTTAAGTGATTCCACAAAGAACTTGTACCAATTCACTTACAATGATAAGCATAGCATTTTTCACAATAATTACAAATACATCTAGAATCCTTTTTTGAAAAATGATCTCAAACATTTGAGGTTCTATCTGCTCTTTTCTTAGACGTGTTTGGTTCGCCATTGTTTTCGATTTTTTAGAACATTGTAGTACTTTCCATTGCTCTTGTAGAATAATATTTTTATTCTTATATATATATATATATATATATATGTGTGTGTGTGTGTGTGTGTGTGTTTATAATAATGATATATTAGCAGTGGGTTGGCGGTTTGAATGGGATGAGTTAGGTGCAAGCCAATTTCAACCCTCTTAATTGACGGTTTGGCAGGTTGGTGGGTTGGCAGTTTATCAGTTTGGCAGGTTAGGTTTAATTAAGTTGTTAACGGGCGACTAGGTTAAGCGGGTTTCACAGGTTGAAAATAATTTGTACACCCCTAGGTCTCTGTTCCCCCTTCCCATTCTTGTGGTTGCTCCATATACCATCCCTCACAATAAAAATGGTCATTATCTCTGATGACCATTGTAGAAATAAGAAGTTGGTTCAAAAT